AAATTGGCGACTTCAACGATTTAATACGATATCCATTTTTATCATTTCAATAGTTTCTGCAAACTAAGAGTAAATTCACACTTCTTTAATACTAGTTTTCGACTATCAATTAGTTTGAACAAAAAGGGGGAAAAAGCTTAACGGCAGTCGATGTCGTTACTGTGAAATAAGTTAAGATATTAAGCAATGAGACAGATAAAATTCATATTAAGCATTATATTATATTATCGATATTCGTTCATTTACTTGTGTTAATTATAAAATAAAATGTTCTTTTTTCTTCAATAACATCTACATCACTGCGATATTTCAAATTTTTATTTAATACTTACTTAAAAATCAGGTTCTCTTTTAATTCCTTTCAAGTTAAACGAGCAAATTTACTCGTTATAGTTGTAACATTAAATAGCTTTTTTCTTCAATACCTCCTACATCGCTGTACGTGATACAGATTAATTATGTAGCGAATAATATGAACTAATTGGCTGCAATCGCGGTTAGGTATTTCTTCGTTATATCTATCAAAGGATCTATTAGGCTATTAGCGAGAGACTTATTGATTCCTCGAAGAACGGTTTTATTATTATAAATTAATGTTTTAAATGTTGTTAATTTATGTTTCAATTGTTATGAATTAATAGCTTAATTGTTATTAATTAGTTGCTTAAATGTTGCTAATTATTGGTTGGATTATAAATTTATAGTATAATTGTTATTAAGTAATGGCTTAAATATTATAAATTAATGCTTTAATTGTTCTTAAGTAATGGTTTAAACGTTGCTAATTAATGGTTTGATTGTTAATTAATGTTTTAAATGTTATTTATTAATTGGTTAAATGTTATACCCCGTCGGAGATCTGGACGTTGGTACTCAAGCGAAGATACTCCCGCATAAGAGCGCTGGACCCCGGGGAGAACGTGGCCGAGCAGACGGCCCCAGACGATATGGCAACCGTCAAGGAGAATGCGTGAGACCGGTAGCGGTCTCAGCTGATCAACGAGGGTGGCAAACATCGAGGCATCGAGGCCGTCCTCCCAAGTTGGGGGACATGGAGGAGCTGCCGCGGTCTCCCGCTGTCCTTCAGGATGACCCAGGTGCTCACGGGACACCCACAATTTATTACAGTAATCATTTCTATAATTTTAATATTTCTTACAAGGTAAAACTAAATTCACGCTTCGTACTCCTGTGGTATTAGTTTCCGATTTAAAATTGTTTTTATTTACATATATCGCATGACAGTTTATGATCAAAACAGTATTTGTACGTTATATTTATCTCACAATTATTAACTCTTATTAATTAATTAAATTATTAGAATTACGCTCTATTTCGTTAAAAATGAGAAAAAGAAGAAGGATAACAATATGAAAATTATATATGTCTTTATTTACTATATAATAAAGTATATATAATACCTTACATACGAAAATCTTATCGAAATCGATATTATATTAACAATTACACTACGTCGATAATCTCTTGGAATTCTCATCTAGCCAAGTCCCTTTGGTCGCAAATACCATCCCAAAATTTCTTCTTTCGATCATTAAATAATTATTTAAGGGAAAATTACCTACTCTTTTTACTTAGGGTACCGTGAACCCTTATTCTGTAGATGCAGGTGTATTCATTGTTACCACTATTGGAATGAACCTTTAATTCGATTATTTCGTATGCTTTCTTTGGTTTGTTCTGTAAATTACAAGTGATAATATATGTTTTATAAAATGTATATCGGTAAACTTTACTTTACCTGAACTTCGAAATATTGTACAGGAGGACCAGTATTATCGTACGTGAATTCACCAAAAAAGAAAGAATTTGTATCATCTACGCTGGTTAAACCCTGCAAATATGCAACGTATATCTGTCTCGTTTACGATATTCTAAATTACGGTACATTAAATTTCCGAAATTTACCAGAATAGAAAATTGTTTTGGAGCGGTGCTCGTTTCCCCTGTAGGAGAAATCGACTGTGGAATATGTTCCAGACTTACTCCAGACACATGTACAAAACCGAGTAACTGTATAACAACGCTTCCACTGCTGCCTTTAAATGCCCAACACTCACCCGGAAGAACACTAGTCTATATAATGAAAATCGATCGATGTATTTCAAAGGAAATATTAATTTCATTTTTTATCCTTTTCAGGAATAGCGATTTATTTATAATTGTTATTCGTATTTCACGATAAATGAATTATTAAAAAGTAATATTCAGTAACCTGAATTATAGCGTGAGGTGTGTTTTGTTGCTGACAAATTGGTATCCCAAAAAGTTTCAGTACCGGTGCACCAGCCGAGTACGTTTCTGTCTTTCTCGTCGAGAGGATTGCTCCGCCTATGACAATTTCCATAATATCTTCAGCGAAACAGACAGATAATGAAATAATTTAAAATAAAGAAAATATATTTTTTCCATTTAAAACCTGAAGTTCCGAGCGCGTAATCTGTCCTTCCGGTTTTGTCAGCGTCGTACGTTTGCAGTTCGCTCTTTACCAATTCTCGGACAGTTTCTGGGGACATAACCTTCAACAATGTTTTCGTATGCTGTTCCATTCCTATTTCAAATAAACCAATGTCTATAACTATCCCGGAAAAGAATAACGTGTATGCTGTAATCGATACATCATATCTTTTTTACCCTCGGACACTTCGTTTCTTAAATAGAGAATGGCCTCAGACATTTTTGGTATCACGTATCCAATCTCTTTCAACTTACTCTTTAAATCGTCTCGCGTTTCCATTACGTTCTTTACTTCCATCTAAGCGAACGACGTTTAAAATCGTGATTTAATATCGTTTAATTGTCGAACAAGACAACGGTACAGTAATTACCGAAAGGGTATTCAAATGCGTTCGCAGATTCACCAAGTCGGATCTGATTATCTTGAACGTCGTACTGGCTGAGTATTTGTCGCACAAATGAGACACGGACATAGCTGAAACGTTCAACACGAAGCATTTTATCCGAAATTATTTCATTTTTCGTTTATTCTAAAATTTTGCTAAGCATAAAATCGTTAATACGTTCCGCTGTATGAGAAATAAAAAAATTTCGAGAATTATCTAACATCAAATCTTGAAAATGTTCTCTACATCGTTAAACTAGAAAAAAGATTGAAAATATCATAGATTTTATTTCAGTTTCGTGTCTGCTATATTTCGACGTTAGAGTACAAAATATAATAAAATTTTAAGTTGTTACTAATTTATATGGACAATATGGTACGAAACGTATTAACATTTCAAATTCGTAACTGGAATTTACATTCTAATTTAGATCTATATAGTAATTGTACATTTTTCAGAAATGGAAAACATTACAGTAAATATCCCTCAACATAGAAATCGTTTAATATTCGTCCAATTGATCTCGAAACATTTAGTATTTTTAAGGAATTGGATACGAAGCTTTCTACGTAGAACGTTTTTCTTTTCCAAATCGTCCAGTTACGAATTACTTAAAAATTTTGAAATTTGCAAGTTAACCATAGATCGACGTACCTAATAACGACGTAATAATGCAAAATACAAATGGTTTGATGAATTTACAGTACCAAGGAGATTGGCGAGAGGAATTCAATATAGCAGCTGGACAGGTTCCTCCATTTGCACAGCAGTACGTGTTTCGAACGTTCATCGGATCGTACTCATAATCACAGGTTTGATCTTTTGAAGGGCCTGAACAAACCTCTTGTAATTTTGTCAAAGTTCCTTCAACTTGTCTAATTGCTAAATTCCGTTTAGTAGATTTCAAAACAAACTTCAGAACGATTAAAACGACGAGCGAGATCTCAGATGTTTGGAACAGTTATTTGAAGAATATTTGCTAATTGTTTCCTAATATAAAAAATTAATATAATATAATATGATATAATATGAAAAATTAATTACGATAATTCTATCTTAGATTGATCTTATTATCTTTTTAGCTAAATTGAAGTCTGCTTTTCTATACATTTTATGTAGGTAAGCACACTCTATAAAGATATAGAGTATCTTCGCAATAAATATTTAACGGAGATATGTTTTCAAACGAAATAATTTTATTCGTAATATAGCATACGTCGGATCTCGATAAATTTTATCAATTAGTTTTCTGACTGTACACATCTACGTTTTTCAAGTATGCTCGTACATTGTACAAGTCGACAAATGGACATTGCTTATGCAAGTTTCATTACAAAATTTTAAAATATTCAGATAGAAAACATACCATATGTTGTAATTCGATTAACAATTTTATACATGTTATTCTAGCAACTGTAACATCGATAAAATAATAAGACGTATACATATATAATACAACGTATTGTCTAATATTAACGAATTTCTGTAAATACATAATAATTTTCTGATAAGATACGTAAGTAACGGAATAAATACAGTAGAAACTTCGTAAAGCAACAATAATATTATAATATTTATTCTTAACATTAATTTATGGAGGTATGTTTTTGCAGCGTATTTGTATAAGTATATAAAGAATAAGGGAGAAAAATATGGAATGTCCATTTTTAATGTAACAACTTGGACTGTTAAACTGTTCGTTATTATTACCTTCTATATTTAATTAGAAACAATAAAGGTATTCTATAACTTGGCATTCCTTGTTTCTTCCTTCTTCGCATATGTCATGTAGTTCTAATATACATACATGTATATACACGTAACAACAGCATGGATAAATTTATCTATATACATCGTATTTAACAATGGGATATTTTCTGCATTCGTACGGTTAAATTTTATTACGATTTCTATGTATTACAGAGAGTAATGAACGATCACCTTTGTAACGATTTTATTGTACTCTAGAACAACTATTTTACAGGAACGAGTTTCTTCAGTTCTGATCGTCGATGTACATAGATAAACTTTCCGATTTAAATCGATATAGACGGAATTTTTATAGGATAAGACGATGCCTGATCGTTATCGCACTTTAGATTCCATAGGTAAATTCTGTAGCAGATGAAGACGTAACCGTTCGATTTTCACTTTTCGTCAGTTAAAATTGTGTAAGCTTGTGTGTATTCGTACATTGAGGCGGCTCTCGAAATCGTAGTCCTTGTACTGGTTTTGCGCCCTCGAAAGGAACATCTTTCCTTCTTCGACATTCTGAAATAAAATATACATGAAATAGCGTTAATACCTAGAGAACAAAATTTTAAACGAAATTAATTTTAGAATCTATTTGAGCGTTTATTCAAATGTTTATCATTTACATTGATACTGCACAGCGCAGTGCCAAGCTCGTAGAGTGCAAATGCGCTAACATGTTGATCATACGCATCGTTGATCGGATAACGACGCTTTAGACAATTTCTGTAACTTTCAATCGCTGCTTGAGTATCACCGAGACAGAAATAGGCTGCTCCTTCAATCAAGTTGGCCAATCCAACCATCGGTTCGTCCGAAAGATTGTCTTTGCATTCTAACAATTTAATTGTCAAAAGAATAATTATTAATAAATTATCAAATGATTAGTAGGTTTAAAAGCTTACAAAGAAATATGTATTAAAACGTTATTCAACCATGTAATAATGTAAAATATTATGCTATCATATCATTAATAATATATTATTTCTAAATTAATTTTTCAAAAGAATGCATTTCTTATTACCTAAAAGTATTCCTTGCAACGAGTCCACAGAACACGATGGCATCGCGTTCCACAAATACAATAATTCATACACGAGCAGTCTGTAGTACAAAACGGTATAAGGCTGGCCAGTTTTCAGATCCACAAGTTTAGGAGTTCGACGCAAGACGAACAAACCCAATTGAGTCTCTTTACTCATTCGATTGTCACAATGGTGGACCTTTCGATAAGACGAGGCCACGATATCGAATTTACCAATCGCCCCGCAACAGACTGAGAAGAAATATTTAAAGATGTAACCGAAATGAAAGATGGCAAAGGTAATAAGGAGAAAAAAATATCTTATACCGGTTGCTAAATAATCGTAGAAGCTCACCGACCACCTGGATTGTTGATGCAATTGTGTCAAAGATCGGTAAGCTTCTTCGTAACTTAAACGAATCAGATGACACCAGGCCACCTCGTGTAGGCACAATAATTTGATCTCTCTTTGACTCGAAGCTTCGACAGCCTTCGCGTATGCTTGCAGAGCACCATTTACGTTTGACTGTGAAACGAAATTAATTTTACGTAAGTTATAAATCATAAATAGCAAAAACGTTGATTACATTAATGTAATTTTAAGAAATAGTAATACTTATCGAAAGTAATAATAAAATATTAAGGAAGTAGGAAAGATTGTAAGACAGAATTAATTCAATATTAAATTATATCATAAATAATAAATAGCGAAGAAGATAAGTTATATCAAAGTAATTTTTAAAAATATTTATTCATGGTACATAACGTTGGCATATTGAGAAGACGGAAAAGTGTTGAGATGATCATAAATGCATCCTTACCTCGAGCCTCTCTATTCGACCAGCGAAAAATAGAAAGAGCGCCGAATTGCTAAATTCTGAATGACACTCCGCGATTAATTGTTTCGCGGCATTTACACCAGCCCGTAGATTGCTTCCATCAAGGGCAAAAAATGGACGTGCAATTGTGTGGTACCAGAGTAGGGATAAGCTAAGGCGGACGGAAAATTGATAAATTAATATCTCATCGTATAAACGAAATATATATACATATGAATATATATATACATATATATATATATATATATATTCATATGTATCTATATCTATCTATATATATATAGAGTTAAAGAACGTTTCACGTAACGCGGCCCACTATCTTTCTGCCATTTAACAATGTAACAAAAAATGTTTTGAACCGTGCATAGATGATGTCAAGCGTGCTACAAATGACCGTAAAAAAAGTCCGAAAATACTTTGCTTTTATAATGAAATTAAGGTCATCTGGACCATATTATGTTGCTTTTTCATATAAAAGCATACTGCATGATGTTTTTATAGATACTAGTGGGAATAATATCTTGCTCGTTGATACATTTCAGAAAGATAGAATTATTTAGATTTACAAAATTTATTTTACTCATTTAGACTTTTACAGAAGAGTAGAATGTTGTATTGCGAAGGACGGTGTGCAGTTTGAACAACTTGCACAGTGTACCGTAAACTTAGTATTGATTTTTGATAAAAATATCATGTAATATACTTTTTGAATTTATCGTAAAGCCCTATACAATCTCATAAAAAATATCATGTCGAGTTACACGAGTCACCCTGTACATAATATGTATATTATCTCTAAACTCACGTGGCAAGAGGAGCACGCATATCTTCGCTAAGCCGTGCATACATGAGCGCAGTGATTCCTGCTTCTCTGTCGCCCTCGAAGCCCAAAAAGTGAATCACTTTTAGAAGAGAAGGCGGCAATAAACTGACACAGAGTTGATAAATCCCATAACCAAAACTAACCGCTGACATCAACCGGGAGACCTCAGATGGTTCAACGAAGCTGCAAAACACGTCACTTTTCCACTTCTGTCAATTTTAAAGGGGAAAGCGCCAATTCGTTACAAAAAGACACAATATTCTCAAAAAAATTGAGTCACCAATGCGCACACATCGTTTAGCTTTTCGTTCAGTGTATCGATAATCGGATCTTAACTCTTTCAACGGTAAACATTTCTTAGAATTGTAAGTATTTAATTAAGTAAGGTTTGTTTAGTAAGTCGTGGAAAATTTCTTTTCTTGATATTTCATATTCTCTGATAAGTTTCGATTGACAATGATATTCTCTGAAACCTAGATAAATGATAGTACCACTGAAAGGGTTAAACAACGATTCAAGTATAAGAATGTGCTGTCATTCACAAAATTTGTTTGTTGTTTGAAAGAGTAACCCTAATGTATATGCTTAACAAAAGCAAAAAAGAAAAAAAGATTCACTGTTATTTTACTTCGTGTACAGGTAAAAGAGAAAGGCAAGGGTTCCACGACGAGGATCGAGAAATGTTTGTAAGAAGAAACAACAATTACGGTGTCTGTTGTTCGGACGTGATGCCAGTGAGCGAGAAGAACATTGATAGAGAGCTTCGCAGACCTGAGGGGGATGAGATCGGTGTCGGGTTGTTTGTTGAACCGTTGCAAGATGGTATAGACCATTCCGAGGAACCTGGACTATGTGGACTTTGCAGTGAGTAAGAGGAGCCATTACACGAAGGAGTGCTGCATCTTGTGTCGAATCCTATTCAAACCAAAATTACGAAAAATTTCCCTTTTTATATTAGTCTTATTCATTCTGATATCAAACGAAAAATATTCTTGATTTAATCATTTCGGATCTTTCCTCTCGCAAACGGAAGATCAGAATAAATATTCTGATGAGAAAAAGGTTTTTAGAGGACTTCAACAAGTATTTACTTATTTCTAAAATAATATTTGCTAGTATTTGCTATCTATATATTCTTATCAAAATGATCTGAATCCTGTGTCTTTTGCCTTAATTCAGCCACCTTTTCTTCGGAATGAAATTACAATACAATTGCATATTAAACAGTGTCATTCTTATTTTTATTTAACTTAAATAACATTATAATCGGCTTGAGCACGTGCTATTGATCACAGCATAGATTGACAACATTCCTCAATAGTTCGATACAATTACATACCCGATGGATTAGAACCAAATGTGCGCTGATATAACTGCAAGATTTGTGAGTGTGCATGCTGATAAACTCGCCAAGCTTTACGTAACATCCAACCACCACGTACGTAACCAGTGAGTTCTTGTTGTAGTAACGTTAATATCGCCGAACAAACTTGCGAGTCTGCGAGAACTATTTGCCTCTCCAATTTATTCACGTAGTCCTTCTAAAACATTTATTTCCCTATTAACATCTCCTCGCTAGCTGTATTTATGAATCTTTTTACATTGTTTCATCACGTTCACTGCTAACCCGACTTTCATTATATATATGCTAACAAATAACTCTTATACAATATAAAAATCTAGTCTTGCGTTAAAGAATACAACGAACGTGTTAATACAAATGAAATTTATTAAAAAACTTTAATTAGAAGATAATAATTACGCCTGTTTCTTCTGCTTTGAAGACTTTACTCTTCATAGACTTTAACCATCCTATGTCACTCGCGCATTCCCTTTCCATATCCTTCAGCAGTAGCATAGCCTGCTGAAGCTTATCGTTCTCAAAGGTCATCAGTGCATTCTAAAAATTTATTCGACGATTATTCCTTCCTGTTCCTATATCGAGAGCGTACATCATGGGCTCTTATTAAGATTGTTCGAAATAGGATTGCGGTCAATAAAAACGTGCAAGCTAGCACGCGATACGTTATCCAGACTATTTTTACGTTACTAGCAATAAGTCTTCGTAACAATAATGTAACAAACTTTACTTTAAAAAGATTCTCCCTTACACTTAATATCTTAAGAGAATTATTCCCTAATTCCTTTGTTCTTCAATCAAAGCTTAACTGAAATCAATCTCGAATAATTTTTTATCAATTTCTACAGTGAAGTAAAACAGTTGCGATGTATTATTTACATACCATGAATAAGACAAAACAGCGACCTGCTTTCATGTGAAAACTATGCGGGTGTCCGGTAAATAGGGCTTCCGCTTCCTCCGTTTTGTTATTCAACAGCAGAGAAATACCCATTCTAGCGGTATTCCACTCCTTCGTGCCGTTTGATTTTGTAGCCATAATTCTTTTTTCAGGTGAACGAAATTTGTTTGTTCTGAGTCAACTATATTTTCGTAAATCGGACCGATAAGGAATATGCTCGTCGCGAATGTCGCGTGTGCGTCAAATAAGAAACATTTCTGCGGCCGTTAAAACGAATGTTTCCGCTTTTCTTGGGTAAACAGCACGATAGCGGTACTCCTTTAATGCTCTTCTCAATATTAGTACAATTCAGTAATTCGAAACAACACTAATATGTACAGTTGTCGACGAATTTGCGTCACGGCACTGTTAGGCGCGGTACTACTATATTACCGTGTATAAGTATACAAAATATTCTTCCTTCCTGCATGCTTACTTTCCTCGTTGAAATGCATCGCGCGTGGGAAATATTAGAACTGGAAATCTTCATCATAATCGCATCTTGAATGCTTCTTCGAAAAACTGGAACTGGATGACATTACACGGTCGCATCGTAAATGTTTTATGTGTTTGGGAGATTCACGCTGATTGCAGATGTTATGTAAGGAAATTGCCCCATATGAAGAACATATGGGGAAAAAATAAACTCGTGCAGTAGTTAGTCGTGAATATTTCGAGTGTTTACTTGCAAAGTCAATTTAAATATTCGCTCGGCACTTCGAAATCTTTAGTTTGAATTTCTAGTCCTTAAGATTTACTTTACGCGCTTTTTTACCATTCTTTCTATTAATGAATTTACATTCCTTTTTACTGTATAAATAATGTTAATAGAAGTGCAATGCGTGCAAGATTTTGTTCGGTGTTTCCTCAGGTTTCAAAGATAGTTATACGAGACTGCACATTATCACCAATATTCTAAGCAAAAAGGATTGAAAAAATAATTTATGTCTTTAAGAAAATAATTGAAACGTGACGTTTATTAAACAGAGCTTTCTACCTACGGTGCCACAAGTTGACTAAAGTATCTGTCAGTATAGCGCAATGGTGCTGCCACCACCTTGCATTTTCATATATAGATATTGATTTTAGACTATGTATATTACGACCCTGAAGGCGCATTACAGTATTAAACAAAAGTTTTATCATAATAACTTTAAGAGGCAGAAGAGGTACGGGAATAGAAATGAAATAAAATAGATTGGAACGTTCCATTCTATTGCACTTGTAATGGTCAATGTATAAAACAAAGCATTAAATTCCTAATTCTATTTCATAATCTCTATATCTCGTCGAGTTCAATTATACGTAACATTCCGTTTCATTTTATAATAAGTATTGTTATAATAAGTATTGTACATTCGTATGTACATTATATTTACAATTGACGCATTTAGTAGTATACAGTAAATGTGTTGCCATTATTATGAAAATAAAAGTATATTTTGAAAAAGAACAATACTGGTGATAGAGTAAAGCTGTGTAAAATAAAAGGTTCAACTGAACAGGAACTGTGTAAAATAGTTTACACAGTCATTACATGTTGTATAACGGTAATATGGAACTATAAAATCTCTGTACATTTATTTACATCGTTTAAATTTAGTATGAATATTCTTAAGTGGAATGTCATATGAATTCAAGACCTTCGAATTTTTTATCTATCACTTTAGTTTCAGGCATCATGATGTTTCCATCAATTGTAAATGCCATAATATACGTAGCTGTCTGTCCTTGATATTCTTCAGTTTTAAGGGCAATGATAATCGTATCTTGAGAGCCTGGTAAAAATTTGAAACTTGAGAAACCTCTGATTGGTACTAAATTACCAACTTTGGTAACCTGAAAATAAAATATTATTAACGTTTTTATATTCCTTAATTTAAACATTAACTCTATAACCAAGAATAGAAAAATACCTTGATATCTACAAAATTTTCATCTGCAGTTAGTAAGATATTGCAACTCATTGTTTCATCTTTAGTTTCGTTATAGCGCTGGTGACAACATCTCCTTGGCAAAAAAAACCAGCTTTTGTGTATATCGCTCCAAGCTCCTGATTCATGAATCATATAGCCTATATAGAAATATTACACAACATTTTTTAATGAAAATTAAAATTCTTTAAATTGTGTATAAAATATATAGTTTTATACCTGGATATTCAATATTTATTGCTTGTCTTAATCGTTTATAGTTTGAAATCCAATTCACAGATTGAACTTCACCACGTGGAGTTATTACTTTTATCCAAAGGGGATTATTATGTTCAAATACTCCTGAAGGATTGGTCCATTCTTTACCCATACTACCAACATACAAATGCTCATCCTTAATAGTTGCCCATTCAGATTTAAATCCTAAAATTATCATAGAAATTGAAATGCAACATAGAATTTTATTGATCCTAATGATATCAAACGTGCGATTTACCTTTAGAATTTTTACCATTACCATCCATCAAAATAACCCAGGGATAAACTTCTTCTCCTTCAATAAAATATATAATTCCTGTACGATCATCAAAAGACAATAAATGTCCATCAAACGTAACCAGTTCAGACAATTCCATGCCACGTCCTTTTAAAGTTAAAGATGATGTTAACATGTGGTTTCTATCATCCCAAACAACCGAAAGAAAATTTGTGCTAGGATTCCAAAAGAGACTTCCAGTTTTCATAATACTGTGCCACACATCTTTTTTATCTAAACTTTTGGAATTGTGGTCAAGATCACTTACTATTGCTATACGATAAGTGATACCCTTAGATGTCTTGATCGGAGCTGACAGAGGGTATGTCTTATTGTACTTGTAATATCTACACTGTGACAAAAATTGATTCGATGACGACGAATGTACAACTCCGCGCAGCAGAGGTAATCCAAGTAGGAACAAAGGAATAGATAGTAATAGGAAAATTAAAGCCAAATATTGGCTCTGAATGCGAAATGTACTGTTAGCAACTCTGTAGACATGAGGAGCACGCAATGCTTGCCTCCAGTCACGTAGATATGACATCGTTTCTGTGTTTCCGTTCTTCATTCGCATTCGTTTCATACCACATTACATTGAAAAATTAATAATTTATAATACGTGTCAACTAAAATCTAACCTAACATAACCTAACTTTTTGTTCCACCTTAATAGGTAGTGGTGAAAGGGAAATGCAGACAACCACATACATCAGCGCCACCTGAACGGATTAAGGGATTTAAATAGCATTAAAAATAAGACCATAAGATGTTATAAGTTTCGTAACTATCTATTTAATATCATATAATCTAAATATTAAGTGGAACATTTCACAACCTGGTAAGTAACATATCCATGAAGAATATTCTTTACCTGGTATAATTATTTAATATTTAGAATAGAAATAATACAGTTATATTTTATAAACTAAGCAACATAAAGAATGCAGGAAATAATTTTATACTTAGTGGATTAAATATATATTTTATTCAGGGCTATAAATATTTGAACATCTCTATGATACAAATTTTTATTTCAAAACGATCAATTTATATGTGAAATAACATTAGATATAATGACACGTATGCAATAATTAAATACAAAATACAGATTTTACTATTATCTGCTATTGCAATTTCTAAAGTAGTCGTCTGTTTCGTTCATTTTAACTTGGTTTTCATGATGAAGTAGTTTTAGATTCTACACCTAAGTACACAGTATATCTGTATAGTATATCCGTCACAGATATCGAATATTTGTTTGCTCTTTCTAATAACTTTACTCGATATTATAATCAACACTTCGATTAAGTAAGATAGTTCAAAAATATTGCATGATTTTCAAAAACACCTGATAACTATTTATACATATTAATAAAAATATTCTTATATATAAATATATTGAACGATTAAGGAAGTGCCTTATACATATTACCAATCTTACATAACGCCATCGTAAAGTACAAATAATTGAAGAAACACAATTTACGATGATGTATTGACATTGACGTTACAAAGAGAAAGGACATATGGAGGTTGAGAAGTTTCTTCTGTTGAAAAGGTATCAATTTGTATCGTGCCAATAACGATGCAAGCATCCGCAGCATATTCTTAAACGTTGGGGTTGAACGAACGAGTCTGGGGTGAAACGAATCGAGGGGGTGGAAAAAGGGGGCGGTGGAAAGGGGAGTCCATGAGGGTGGTAAAGTACTCGTCAGTCGTGTGACGCGTTTCCCGCGGACAGCATCGGTTATATTGGCGATACGTTAAACCACAACCGTATTTCCACTTTCCACGTGTTCCTCGCGTGTGTCTTATGTGATCTGATTTCTATTGGCTATCGCAGGTCCGCGGCAACCTGTATTATCGATCGAACGCGCTTTGCGCACGTTGCCGCAGTTACTCGTGGCACCGCCACCACTATCACACGTACTGCACTATCGTCTTCGTGTTAACGTGACAACGCGTGTGCCGATTCGGCTCGATTTCCGATTTCTTTTCCGCACTGCGGTTACATCTGTATTTCCTACGTTGTAACGACGTTCTCTGTCAACATCGTTTCTCTCTATATACACCTTACGTGAAAATTTCTGTCCAACCGCCATGTTCCATTTCAAATTGTACGTTTCGCGCATTGCTGAAAACATTAACCATTTGTTTGTGCCAATTGTTGACATAACGAAGTGAATATACGAATACGGGAACAGTAGAGTATTGTTTTTCATAGATTCATGTTTCGATGAAATCATGATTTAAAAATACTTTGAAATCTCTTTGGATTTTTAGTGATCTCCAATCGATTTTGAAACTGTTTTATCGATGTTACATACTCTCGATTACATCTCGATTGACTACCAATGTGGCGCCAAAACGGTGAACAAAGCGTTACTTTTGCTGCTGTAAATATTCGAACATTTCAAAGTCATTATCGTTTATAGTAATTCGACTCAGTGCTTATAACGACGAAATAGTTAGAATGAATTTTTGAAAAATATAGAACATCTTCTATGTGATGTAAGTGATTTTGTTAAAACGTGAATGTTGTGAATGAATGTTCCGCGAGATTATGGTGTTATGGCTAACAGTATTTCTACTTAACGTCTTCTTCTCGTTTGTGAATACTCACTCATGGAATACTACTCCAGTATCATCGTATTCATGTTGTAAAAGGTAAACAGTATGTCTTACTAATATCGCACTTTTACTGTTTTAATTATTGGAAGTAGGGATATATAAATAAAACACAATGTTCGCCAATGAAATAACTGCAATGCGATTGATTTCCCATATAGTGGTTATGACTATGCATATACATTTATACAAGTAACCATACGAATATATTTTTATTATTATTGCTCATTTATTATATAAACGTTGATTCCTGTATTAGGAGAATGTATTCTATTCTTTATAACAGCAATGTCATTAGCACTCATGCGTATTACGTATTATCAAGTGTGAAACCATTCCCTGGACAAAACAGTGAAAGTAAGCCTGTGCTATATATCTGAGATAGCCGCAGAAGTCGTGTGAAAGGTTAACAGCCAAAGAAATAGTCTACACATTCACATCCTGAAACAGAGTACATATTGGCTCATGCTATTACCAACCTGTTCTCGATAAGACGGTTTCAAAACTTCCCGCGATAAAGATGTCAAAATATTGCCAACTGCTCGAACCTTCATGCATATAGACGTATACATAGAAACGATAATTAGTTAACACATGTTATTACGATATTAGTTAGTATCGTTAACGCAAAATAATAGCATATAATATAGAAACTATACATAAGGTAAACGAAGTAAGGTGTAAACCTGGTGTTTCGTGCATCACGAAAGGGTTCGAGGTAATCTAACGCCAGGTAGGGCTGGTCGTAAGAAGATACCGAGCTATACGTAAGAAGCATCGTCCATGACGATGTGTCGTCGGATATTCTTCAAGGTCGTCGACCTTAACAGCGTCTCGTGGAAACGGATCTGCTTGGGCGAGACGTAATTACGCTTAGAAGATGGCGTAGAAGGGGGGTAGAAAGAGATGGAGCAAGTGGAATAGAGGATGACTTTGTGGGGTTGGTACGACGACATTGGAGGGT